GGAAACAACTCCGCACGTCCCCCAGTGCGCCCTTGTGAGGGAATCAAAGGTCATTCTCAAGGACTAGCTTCCCAGATCAAGGCGTTAGCCTCATCCAGGGTCTGCACCCACAGCCTCTTCCACCCAGGATCCCTGCCATGCAGCCCCGATTCAGCTGACTCAGTTTACCTTTAGAAGCATTCCCCTGGCATTGTAGCTAGAAAACTAAACAAATGCCTCTTTCTGTTACTATAACTAGAACAAGTATTTGGACTGCCCAGGGAGTCAAAAATCTTGGATTAGGGAAAACACAGTATTTCACTTTCTTTGACTCCTGGAAGACTGGCCACTCCCATTCCAATCTGTGCTTTGAGGTAAGACAGAACTGTGAACTGAATAATCGAAATGAGAGTGGCCACAGCAACAAGGTGACGTCCCCTGCCTTGGGTGGAAGTGGCATAAGCCATGCCAAATGGGGAATGGCAGAGAAAAAAAAAAGGCTAAAAATAGGCTCCAAAGAGACGTGGTCTCTCTAGCTCTGTGATTCCAGGACCATGAAAGAAGCAGCAAGTGCTTTGTCTGCAACAGTCTGCTTTCTTGTGTCTTTGTCTTTTAAATCACTGGTTTGAAGGCTGCTGATAAAATTTTAACCATATTCATTTTTCTGCTCCCAAATCAATAAAATGAAAAAAAAAAAAGAAGATATGACTCAACTGAATCAAACCCTCTATCAAAACCTGAGTCATCACACCAGCAGAGGAAAGGAGGCGGATGGATGGGGATGGCCTTGGTTGCAATGATAATGGCTGCGATTGCCCAGTGTGGTCCATTTGCCGGAAGCTTTGTACAAGCTGCAGCTTTGTACAAGGCTGGTGCGGTGTCCTCCACTGCGGGGATCGCTGGGACTCAGAGATGTCAGGTTACTTTCCTGGGTCAGTCGGGTTGGCCAAGGCAGAGCCCAGGCAGGTCTTGGTGCATCCAGAGCACAAAGATTATTTTCAGAGCAATGACAGATCCTTGAAAATGAAAGACTGGGGCCGGCGCTGTGGCGTAGCAGGTAAAGCTGCTGCCTGCAGTGCTGGCATCCCATATGGGCGCTGGTTTGAGACCCAGTTGCTCTACTTCTGATCCAGCTCTCTGTTATGACCTGGGAAAGCAGTAGAAGATGGCCAAGTCTTTGGGCCCCTGCACCTTCGTGGGAGACCCGAGGAAGCTCCTGGATCCTGGCTTTGGATCGGTGCAGCTCTAGCTGTTGTGACCATCTGGGGAGTGAACCAGCGGATGGAAGACCTCTCTCTCTCTCTCTCTCTCTCTCTCTCTCTGCCTCTCCTTCTGTCTCTGTGTAACTGTGACTTTCAAACAAATAAATAAATCTTAAAAGAAAAAAAAATAAAATGAAAGACTAACTGGACACAATGAGAGTGATAATAGGAAGCCTGAGGGCCGCACGGGTACGCGGGTACTCCCGGGGCTCCTGTCAGGGTGGGGGAAGGACCTGGGCCGGAAGTATTGAAAGAAGGAGCAGGAAATGCTTCCTCTAGTGAGTCCGTCTGCACTTCATTTGGCTGCATCATGCGGACCACGTTCTGAACCAATCAATCAATTCATATCTTTATCAAAATGGCACTGGGTTTTTGCTTTGTATGATGGGTGTTTCTGTGTGCTTGAAGTCACCTCTCCGTGGCCAGTTTTGTGCACAGTGGGTTAAAGTGCCCCCTGCAACACCAGCTTCCTACATGTGCTGCTCTGCTTCCCATCAAGCTCCCCACGATTGCATCTGGGGCAGCAGCAGAAGGTGGTCGAAGTGCTTGGGGCCCTGCCACCCACGTGGGAGACGCAGGTGGAGGTCCAGGTTCCTGGCCACTGCCATTCAGGGAGTGAGTCAGTGGGTGCTTCTGCATATCAACTCCGAAAGCAGCTCTGCCTTTCAAATAAATATACAGGTCTTTAAAAAAAAATCTCCCTCCTGGACAGGGGATGCCCTAATATCCATAGCCTCTCCCTTTACGCTGTGCTCTATGGTCAGACGTAGTGTGCATTATTTCACTCAAAGCAGTGTGATGAGACTTGCAAGGTGGGCTTTGTTTCTTCCCATTTTGAGGATTGTGATTTGCCCAGTCACATAGCCAGCAGGTGGCCCAGCCTGCACTTGGACCAAAGGTTTCTATTGCACATCTGCCCTCCCTTCTTCCGTGCCCAGGGCCCTGCTGTGAGAGGCTTTCCTTGCTGAGTCATCCCCACAGTTGGACATGGCCAAGCCCTACATTCTGCTCCCAGCGAGGTGCCCTAGGTATTCACTGGATGGTTTTTATGAATGAATGAATGACTGAGAGAGGCATAGGCAGGACTGAAACTCTCCATGAAATGGTCAGATGAGATTTGCGTTGGGGCATTTTGACTTTCAGATTTGCTTGGAGAGTGTTCTAGAAAATTCTTCCGTGTGCTCACATTTCAGCTAAATAAATGACCTCTGAGCCATCAGAGGAGGTAGTGTTGACTCACTCTCTAGCTGAAGAATGTTTGTTTCTCAGAGGCTATAAATCTGTCTAATCAGGGCCTAATGGTTTTTGGGATGACTCTGCGCAAGTGTTCCATTAATTGAAAGAGGAATGCTGTCATCTGCCACAGAGATTTCTCATTATATTCCATCAAATTCAGAGCAGAGCCCTGTTTGGAATTCTTCTCTGAACAGGGTAATTACACCACATCCTATGGTGTTTGGAAGTAGCACTCACAATTAGCATCTCTGCCATGAGTGGGAAGTGATCCGTGCTGAACAGGAGCTGGGCCAGATGGGCCTTGCTAAGACCCTGTCCCCACCCTGCGCCAGCTCCATTCAATTAAGCTGTCCCTGTGTGTGTGCAAGAGACATAAATCAACTTTCACTGCTGCATGTATTCAAGAATCGCATCCGCTTCCGTTAATTAGGAGTCAAGTGCTGCTGTTTGTAGTGATCAGGTTAGAACAGACGATGATGCCGAAGGATTCCAGACAAGAAGCAGATCCGGTGAGATGCCACAGGCCTCAGACAGCCTGGGCAGCAAGCTGAGTCCAGACACGGCCCAGCCTGCCCTTGTCCTCGTCCCAGGAGACAAAAGACAGCAACCCAGCAAACTCAGGTCCCTCACTGCAAAGTGGCTCCATCCAGGGCACATGGCCGATACTCCCCAAGAGTGGACAGGACACAAGCCCCGCCCTCGTGAGCAGGAGCCACTGAACAAGCCAGGCACCTGTAGCTTTGTATACTTTATCTGGGGGTCTCCAATTCCCTCCTAACTTGTGAGAGTTGTTTCTGATTTTCCTTTTCCCTTCCCCTCGTACCGCCCCATCCTTCCCCTACCTCCAAACACTTTCACAGTCTTCTCAGGTACTCAATATTCTTTTGCTCCGATTAAGTCCTGAATCAATCATTGAGATTTAATAAGTGTAACCTTGGGACCCCCCATATAGCTTATATACTGCACATGTGCCTCTACCCATGCACAGAGTACATGCACATCCTGTGAATGAGGGCATTTCAAACGTCCACAGGAAAAAGGGATGATCTGTTTATTTTGGTGCAAAAACTCTTGAAATCCTTGCCTCTGAGGGGTCTCCCAAAGTTCCGTGGAATATGGATATTAAGAAAAGTTCTGCATTTCAAATGTTTTTGCACAGAATATACTTATTAATTCCATATTCATGACATTTTAAGGGCCCTTATAATGCATTATCTACTCCACTTGCATGTGGTGAAGAAGTTGGGACTCGAACCGGCACCCATGCAGAAGGCTGGCACTGCAGGCATTGGCTGAACCCACTGCGCCAAAGCAGCCGTCCCACAGCTTGCTTTGAAAAATCCTGTAACTTGTTGTTTTGCTCAAATTATGCTTTCAGTGTGTATCGATCCAATTTGTTGACCGTGCTGCATAATCTGTGGTACGAATGAGCACACCACAAGGCACTGCCCGTCCTGCTGGTGCATGCTGGGGTTGTTTTCATGTCATTTGCCATTACAAATAGCATCACGCCTCCCAGCGCACACGTTCAGAGGTTCTCCAGGGGACAGAGCCTGCTCCCATCCACTGTGGCCTGAGGGCTGGGCTGTCACAGAGGACAAATGGGAAGGGGGGCTGGGCACTTCTGAGAGTCAGCATACACAGCCAGGCAGCAGCTGAGCCAGGAGTTGATGGTAAGGCTTTTAAAATAGTCTTGCACAAATCCGCGTGTAGGTTTACACCAGCATACTGCTCACCTTTCCTTTGGAGTTCCTTATACTAGGGTACTTATAAAAAATGGAACTAAAAGGCAATTTTAATGTAAAAGAAGCTGGAATCCAAGAGCAGTTTTTTCAACATATGGATTTTCCAAGAATTTTGAATATCCCTTTTTTAAAAAAAAAAGGTTTATTTATTTATTTGCAAGTCAGAGTTACACAGAGAGAGCAGAGTCAGAGAGAGAGAGAGAGGTCTTCCATCAGATAGTTCATTCCCCAATTGGCTGTAATGGCTGGAGCTGCGCTGATCCGAAGCCAGGAGCCAAGAGCTTCTTCTGGGTCTCCCACATGGGTGCAGGGGCCCAAGGACTTGGGCCATCTTCTACTGCTGTCCCAGGCCACAGCAGAAAGCTGTATCAGAAGTGGAGCAGCCGGGTCTCGAACCGGTGCCCATATGGGATGCTGGCGCTTCAGGCCAGGGCATTAACGTGCTGTGCCACAGTGCCGGCTGAATATCCCTTGTATGCACGGATTTTTCTTTTTAAAGATTTATTTTGTTTATTTCAAAGGCAGAGTTATAGACAGCGGTAGAGACAGAGAGAGAGAAAGAGGTCTTAAAATCTGCTGGTTCACTCCCTGAATGGCGCCACAGCAGGAGCTGAGCCGATCCAAATCCAGGAGCCAGGAACTTCTTCCAGATCTCCTACGTGGATGTAGGGGCCCAAGGACTTGAGCCATCTTCCGATGCTTCCCCAGGCACATCAGCAGGGAACTGGATCAGAAGTGGAGCAACCGGGACTCGAACTAGCACCATATGGGTTGCTGGCACTGCAGGCCAGGGCCTTAACCAGCTGCACCACAGCGCCGGCCCCACATGCACAGATTTACACCAAAATAGGCATCTTTTGATCCCCTTTTCCATGATCTTTTTAAAGTGACTTTGGCACAGGGGAGCTCATCAGGAAAAGCCCCAGAAAGGAATCTAAACAATGACTCCCGGGAGCTCTAATTGGAAGAGAGCTGGTGTGCCCGCACCTGGAAGCTGCCCCTTCCTTGTCATCGGTGTGATCTCCGCGTGGTTAGTTGTCTTCCAGTCTACAGTAGTTCAGGACAGTAAATTTTTTTTTTAAATTTATTTGACAGGTAGAATTATAGACAGTGAGAGAGAGAGACAGAGAGAAAGGTCTTCCTTCCGTTGGTTCACTCCCCAAATGGCCGCCACAGCCGACGCTGCACCTATCCAAAGCCAGGAGCCAGGTGCTTCCTCCTGGTCTCCCATGTGCCAAGCACTTGGGCCATCCTCCATTGCCCTCCCGGGCCACAGCAGAGAGCTGGACTGGAAGAGGAGCAACCGGGACTAGAACCCTGGTTGCCGGCACTGCAGGTGGAGGATTAGCCAAGTGAGCCACAGCGCCGGCCCCTCAGGTCAGTACATTTTAAGTAGGGTGATTGACAAGGGGAGAGAGTAGGTAGAAAAGCAATGTGACCTCCAATTCGCCCTCTTCTGTTTCTCCTCTCCAGGCAGGCTGATGAATGAGACAAACAGACTCAGCATACTCAGGGCCTTGAGTGGCAGGCAAAGCTCTCTGCACCACTTGCAACAGAGTCATCAAGAAGAAGCTTGAAACTCCTTCAAGAAGGCTGCAATTTCACAGCATTTCCATGGAAATTCAGGTACTGGGATGTTAACTTTGGGGGAAAATGGTGGTTGATGTTTACCGAGTTTGCAGGCTAGTTCACAGCTCACAGAATGGGCAAGTGTCTGGCTGAAGAACCAGGACACGGGGATCCCTGTGAGTGTTTTGGCCAGGTTGGCCATGCTGTGGTGTGGCGTGTTTCCTGTCCAGGCGGGAGCCCTGCCCAGGGTGCTGTGAGGTCAAAGCTAAGAGCACTGATTCTACACAGGGGTCCTTTCTGTGGGGGTCAGAAGACACTCTCAAGGGCTAGGCAGTCAGAGATTTGACTTCTGGGCCTCCGTTTATACATCTGCAGCATGGAGTTAATAATCCCACTTATATCTTAGAGTTATTGTGATAACTCAATGACTTTGCTATGCAGACACATAATAAGCAATAAGTACTTTATTCCGTCCCCCAATCTGCAGCAAAATTGATGTGAATTCACCAAGTACTTGGGAAAAACATTACTATTTGAGGGGAAGAACTTGCCTAGAATAGCGCGTCTCTGGTTTTCATCCACGATTTTAATGCTTTTGTCCTATTTTATTATTAAATTGCTTTCTCATTTAATATTGTTTACTTGTGTTTTTGAAAGCTGGATTTATGGCTCAATAAGCTATTTATGTTTGAGCCTCGGCAAATTGGTACAATCTGTCCCTGATTTTAATTCATGGTATGGTTCCAGTGCCTGTGTTTGCAACATTTTGGGAACACTGTTAATGGCATTTTAGTAAAAGGACAATTTTAACAAAACAGGTTTTAAATCCACCAGTGAGGGCTTGCTCCACCCCGATGCCCACTTCCAAACTTGTCTTGGGGTCCTGCTTTAGGGAAATGAGAGCGCCATTGGGAAGACAATCAAGAGACCCGTATTCACTACCGCCTGTGCTGGGTTTCCAGGAAGCTTCCAGACAGCCCTGCTCCGGGGCAGCTAGGGCAACTGGGGTGGCAATTAGGAACCAAAAACTCAACACTCCTGCTTAGAAAATCGATTTTATAATGCTCTTCGGTACGAAGCCATCTACTTCCTTCCACTATTTTGGAGCTGGCTAGGAGGACAAGCAGATGGGCTCTTGGCGGGAGCCGTGGAGAGCTCTCTTCCATGTGTAGTGTTGCAGCAGCCCTGGAGGAACTCAGCCCCTGTCCTCTCCCTCTCTGTTCCCCTTGGACATTTCTATTTATGCAGATGATGTTAAACTGTAGTGATTGATTGATTGGAGAGGGAGAGAAAGAAAGAAAAAGAGGGAGTCAGAGGGGGAGAGAGAGAGAGAGAGAGAAACGCTTCCGTGTTCTGACTTCCTCTCCAAATGCTCCCAACAGCTGGGAGTAGGCTGGGCAGAAGCTAGGAGCCAGGAATTCAAGCTAGGTTCTCTCCCACGGGTGGCAGAAGAATTAGTTCATCGCTTAGCCTGTTGGCCACAGCCCAGCTGTGGCCATCACTGCCACCTGCCATGCTGTGCGTCAGCTGGAAGCTGGGGTCAGGAGATGGAGCCCAGCACTCCTGTGTGGGACTTGGGCTACCTGGCTGCTGTGCCAAACGCCCACGCCTATGAACACAATTTTTCAATCATTTTAGTCATAGTACGTATGCTAACTTGTATTTTCCATTTTTGCTGATAATAAAGCAATTAAAAATATTTCCACAAAGGCTTCATTCTTCCTTAAAGCTGTTGCATGAAATTTCGTCTTACAAATTCCACACTGGTTTATTTGACCATTGGACATTGGACATCTTTCAGTATTTTCCTATCCAGATCTTTTCTACATGTAGCTTCCTTCTGCCTTTTTTTTCTCCTTTTAATTTGTTATCCTGGGACTGCTTCCCAAGTTTGGGATGAAGAAGTCAAGAAATGTGAACATTTTTGTGATTTTTGTTACGAACTGCTGTTCTGTCTTGCAAAAAAAAAGGGGGGGGGGAACACTCTTATAGTTGTGGAGGTGGTTCTTTTTAAGAGAAAACAAAGCATGATTCTGCATTTTTAAGAAAAGAGAACAGAGGCAGAGTCAGCATGGAGAGAATGGAGTGGGCGGGAACGAGACCCGGCCCTTACAGATAGGATGCTGATGTTCTGAAGCCCGCAGGCCAGGCGGGAGGTCCTGGAAAGGAGGAGTTTGGCGTGTCTACTGCACAGTAACTCATTTCCTCTCTTTAGCTTCCAGGACAGTCAACAGACTCATCCCATAGCTTAGCATGTGGGCCACAAAATACCACTGCCAGTATTTTTTTTTCCAACAATTTATTATTATTACTATTATTTGAAAAGGAGAATTACAAAAAGGGGGAAAGACAGAAAGAGGTCTTCCATCTGCTGGTTCACTCCCCATATGGCCACAGTGGTTGGGACTGGGCCAGGCTGAAGCCAGGAGCCTGGAGTTCCATCTGGTTCTTCCACATGCACTTGGGCCATCTTCTACTGCTCTCCCAGGCTCATTAGCAGGGCCCTGGGTTGGAAGTGGAGCAGCTGGGTCTCGAACCAGGACTCTTATGGGATGCTGGCGTCATAGACAGTGGCTTACCCCTTTGTTTCAGTCTTTATTCACTTCAGATAGAGACTCATTTATTTATGTTTTTTTTAAATTGTCTATTTATTTGAAATGCAGAGCGATAGAGGGAGGAAGAGACAGAGAGAAAGAGATTTTCCATCTACTCATCACTCACCAAATGGCTACACAGCCAGGGCTGGGCCAGATTGAAGCCAGGAACCAGGAATCCTACCCAGGTCTCTCAAGTGGGTGGCAGGAGCCCAAGCACTTGGGCCATCATCCACCATTTCCCCAAGAGCGTTAGCAGGAAGCTGGATCAGAAACAGGGCACCAGGTCTGGTGTTCCCATATGGGAGGCAAGCATGGTAAGCAGCAAATCAACATGCTGCACCACAGTGCTGGCCCCGTTCATTCTGAGTCAGGCGGATGAGCAGGTGCATGGTTTTCTCACTGGAGGAGTATGGAGCCAGCCTCACGCACCCTTCTCTTGGTAGAACTCATCTTGTGGGCTTCAGATTGCCAAACTCTGCATGTCTTTCTTTCTCTCTCTTTCTTTCTCTCTCTCTTTCTTTCTTTCTTTCTTTCTTTCTTTCTTTCTTTCTTTCTTTCTTTCTTTCTTTCTTTCTTTCTTTCTTTCAGATTTATTTGAAAAGCAGAGGCAGAGAGAGAGAGAGAGAGAGAGAGAGAGGTCTTTCATCCACTGGTTCACTCCCCAGATGGCCACAACGGCTGGAGCTGCACCAATCCGAAGCCAGGAGCCAGGAGCTTCTTCCGGGTCTCCCATGTGGGTGCAGGGGCCCAAGGATTTGGGCCATCTTCTACTGCTTTCCCAGGCCATAGCAGAGAGCTGGATCAGAAGTGGAGCAGCCGGGACTAGAAGCAGCACCCAATATGGGATGCCGGCACTGCAGGCAGCAGCTTTATCTACCAAGCCACAGCGCTGGCCCCAGCCTGCATTTCCTTACTCAGCTGTTCGGCCTCCTGTGATTCTGATGAAAAGGAGGAAGGTAGGTAGGGCAGGGAGAATCATTTCTGGAAGAGCTGGAGCTTTGGTTTCCCATGAGTGAATTCCACCTGTGGGTTGCCCTCATGCTGCGGATCTGCTGGTGTCTTGTTCCGGGTTTCGTGGTTTGTGTGAAATCAGTCACCCTGCCACTCAGGCAGATATGACTGGTTTTGTCCCTAAAGCATGTGGGGAGCATAGACAGGCATTCTTGCCACCTGTAGGAATCCCGATCTCAACGGCGTGTCAGATTTCAAAGCTGCAGGTCGCATGTGTGGCACTAAGAATAGTGTTTTTCCAGATCAGTACTGGGCTCAGTGGTTACAGCGCCCTCTGTCACATCACAGTGCCTGGCTTTGGGTTCAGGCTCCGGCTCCCAGTTCCAGCTTCCTGCAGTGCAGATCCAGAGAGACCGTGAACCATAGCAGAAGCAGTTGGGTCCCTGCCACCCACGTGGGAACCCCGGATTTAGTTGCCGGTTCTCAGCTTCTGTCCAGCCCAGGCCAAGCTGTTGCAGGCATTGGCAGTGAACCAGCAGATGGGAGCTTGCTCTCTCTCTCTCTCTCTCCCTCTCTCTCTCTCTCTGTCTTTCTGTGTCTCCCAGATGAGCAGAAAAAAATAATGAATCTTCCACAAGGAAAAAATATAATAATGGTATCTCATTTTTTATCACTTAACATCTTTTAGATATTGTGTGTTTGTTTGAACGTAAATGAATTCATTCTTTCATTTGATCCTCACAATTTTGGGTAGCAAAAATTATCACTCCACATTGCAGATGGTGGGGAAAAGAGAAGAAAAGTCAGGTTTTTCGAGTTCATGGGACCAGTGAGCAGCAGAGCGAGATCTCTAACTGATGTCCCTTGCTGTCACCCTGGTTCGTTCCGTGTCAACACACTTGGCCCGATTCCCAGTACAGCACACGAAAGGCTACTTACGGGTGATTATTAATATCGTATTTTAGGAAAAATGTTTGCCTCCTAATTCCAGGGCTTGAGGCACTCTGCAGGCAGTGATGAAGTCCGCTGAGGTTCTCTTCTGCGCTCTTAGTCTCTCCCTGGACCGCTGATGCTCTGTCGCTCCCCCTCTTCGTGGAGGAACGACACTAAACCCTGCCTAGGCTTCATATCCGAGTCACGGCACCATTATGTCGCTCCCCCTCTTCGTGGAGGAGCAACACTAAACCCTGCACTGTTCTTTCGTCTGCTCGGCCCTCCCCGGGTTTGCTGCTGGTTCTTCCCGGGTTGGCTACTATCCCTTCCACCTCCGTGGAAGGGCAGTTCCCCCTGGCCACATTCCCCACTTCCGCAGGGGAGCGGCACACCGCCGGCCGGCTCTCTCAGGGGCTGCACAGGTGTTCCCCTTAGATGTTCCCCTTAGATGTTCCTGGTGCATGCCGTCTCTCTCCTCCTTTATAGTCCTCCTCCGCCAATCCCAACTCGGCTGCCCACACGCCGAGTACGCTGCTCTCCTCCAATCAGTAGCAAGTCCTACAGTTAATTGGTTGA